CAGCGTGGGTGCAGGGGAGCCAGACATTCTCCCTGACTCCCTTAGAGGGCTTGGTGAGGTTCTCCTCGGTGCTTCAGAGGAGAAAGAGAAATCCGAAATGCTGGTATTTTTAGTTCCCACTCCCTCCTTGACTGTGAATAGGAACGTGATTGAGAATCCCACCAGTCTTCAAAGCAGGCTCACCTTTAAAGCAAATGCCAAGGGTTTGAAAACTCACTGGGGATGGAAGCAGACGTGCATGAACAGAGGCAGCTTTTTTTAAAAAAGGAAGCCAAGCCCTGGGGCTGTCAGCAGAGTTGAGATAAGGTCTCGCTCCCCTCCCCTGCCCTACACTGCAGGAGCACAGGCAAGGATGTCTTCCACCCTGACATGTCATGTACCCGCTGTGTGGACAGGGACTGGACTCTCAGCTGGCCCATATGCCTCAGGGCACATGGGGCTCTCCCGGTAATTGGAGTGCTTACAAAACCAGCTCAGTACTCGAGGAAATGACCTACAGGGTATGCTGGGAGGGATTCAAATATTTCTTGTCACTTCCCTGTGACTGGAGGGAGGCGGGGACAGGAGAGAGGGAGGGGTGGGAATGGAATGCTGAAATCTAAAATAAAACCGCTACAGAGCTCAGAGCTGGGGGAGACTGTTAAAAAGAAAGAAAAAAAAAGCCCCTTTGGCTTTAAGAAGCACATTTCTAGGACCAGGCACCAAGCTAACAGTAGGAGCCAAGGCAGAGTGAGCCTTGCAAGTGCTCAGACCAACTGAGGAAACCACCTGACTGGCCTTAGCTGGAAGCCTGCTTCACACTCTTTTGGACAATGCTGTTTGCAAAGCAATCTGGATTTGGCCACAAAACAGCCACCAGCACCAACATCAGGAATGTTACTTTTCTCTCTTGGGTCACAGACAGGAGCAATCACATTGTGTGGATTAACCAAAGAATCTGAAACATAGGAACAGTTTTCAAAAATCATCTGGAGCTCACCCTAATTTTTAACACATGGTCTAGAGTTTTCAAGTTTCCTGTCCCCGGTTCTTCGACCCTCCAGATCTAGCTAATAAAACCTCAAGCTGAGAGCAAGCTTGCTGTAAACACGGCTTGCTCCTGTCCATTCTGTAGGAAGTGTTAGCAGCAGGCAGCTCGGGGCCTTCATAAATCGCATCCCCTTGCTCGCACGAGCCTTATTGGTACGGTCAGCCCATTTCCTAAACTGTGGTCCCCATCTGCTTCCAATCTCCATGGTGATGGTTGCAGCGCCCATCAGGATTTGCAGCCCCCATCCCCTTCTTCCTCCTCTGTTCCTTTCACATTCTTCCCAGTAGCTGGGTCAGAACCCAGGAGGCATCTAAATCCCTGCTTCTCATCAGCATGGGCTCTGTAAAGACTCCCAATGTCTTTCCATAAGGTCTTCCTATAAGGTCTCTGGTCTCTGTCTCCACAACCACAATCTGAATTCTGACTTGTCACCTCTGACAGGAATGCTTCAACGGCTTCCACATTGTTATCCCTTCCTCCTGTTCCGTTGTGCAGTCCTCACTCCTTGGATCTTACCTCATGGCCTCTGTTCTCTTCAGAGATGAGCTGCTGCTGTTGAGGCAATCCATTAGCATCATAGCAGCGCCCCTCCTCATCTGTCTCAGCCGTTCCCTCCTGAGTGTTTGCACCTAGGGATGAGGGATAAATTGCACCAGGCAGTAACTCTGGGCCAGTTAGAGGTGGCAGCCAAGAAGTATGCTCCCCTTGCAGTGGTGACTGCCTCAGGAATACACCTAAATCCCTTCCTCCAGGCCCTTCGTCTGTAGATGGAAAAAAAAAAAAGCACCCTTTGGCAGGTGATCATAAAATGTGCCTCGGAAGACACAGAACTCAGCCCCAGAGGGACAGTGGCATTCTCTGTAGATCAGAGTGTGGATGTGGTATAAGTATGACCAAGGGTATGGGAGCCCGAGGTGAACTTAAATTATACTGAATGAACACATTTAGTCTCCTTTCAGCATCTGAGTTCCTTAAGAAAGAAAAAAATATAAAGCTCTGAGCTGCATGCTTTATTCCATAAGATACTTTCTGGCTCGCTCATTTTTTTTTTAGGCTAGTTAATTCCCACATGACAGGAGTGTTACACACCTCACGGATCTGGTTACTTAGCTGGTGTGTACCGGAATATTTTATGGCGCTTTTGTAAGCACGAAGATGGCTTTCTGGAAGAGAAAAGCCCACTCCTTGGTGACTCACCCTCAGCACTCAGGCTGTTCGCCCGCCCGGGGAGGGAATCATCAGGGGAGCATACAGAAGGAAGGGAGCTCTCTAGCTGAAGAGAAGCGAGACATCCTGCACAGGGGACCCAGCTCTCCTGACAATGTGGGTCTGCAGCCATCTGGAAGGCATTCTCAATTCATTTGCCAGCGCCCGAATCTCTCCAGTGACCGACTTCGTTCTCACTTGACTTGCTGAGTCACATGGGGTCTCACCAGAAGGATCTAGAAAACAGAGTGATCTACAGACTCATTAGGCCCCGCCTCAGCTTTCGTCTTCAATTCTGTCTCAAGAGGAGATGCGCTCCAGGGTTGGCCAGGAGCACTGTTCCCCTTCTCTTTGAAGAATGTCCTTTCTTTTATTCCTGTTCCACTTGGGGCCGTGTGTTCCCCCACATAAGGTGGTGTGCTCAGGTCTAGTACCTGTGTCTCCTGATGTTATACTTTGAGTTGATATGCCCCCTACAGGCTCATGTGGCTGAACATTTGGCTCCAGCTGGTAGGGCTGTTTTGGAAGGTGGGGAACATTTAGGCGGTACAACTTGGCTGGAAAAAGTGGATCACTCAGAGAGGGTGTGTGTGTGTGTGTGTGTGTGTGTGTGTGTGTAGGCGCGCGCCTTTAGGCTCTGTACCCCAGCCCCACTTCCTGCCCTTCCTCTGCTTCCTGACTATGGACTCTTTGCTGCCACCCTCCCTTCACCATGACAGACTCCCTTCAAACTGTGGGGCAAAATAAATCATTCCTCCAAGCATTTTGTCCCATCAATACAAAAGTAACCCATTCACCCACAATATTTCTATGTTGAAACTAACAGCCAAGATAATGGCATTAGGAGTGGGGCCTATGGGAAGCGATGGGGTACTAGGACTCTCTTAGGTACCTATTTCCTATTGTGATAAAATACTCTGCGAAGGGGCTGGAGAAACGGCTCAGCAGTGAAGAGCACTGGCTGTTCTTCCAAAGGACCTGGGTTCAATTCCCAGCACCTACATGGCAGCTCACAACTGTCCACAACTCCAATTCCAAGCAACCCAATGTCCTCTTCTGACCTCTGCAGGCACCAGGCACACATGTGGTACACAGATGTAAATACATGTAAACAAACTATTCATAGACATAAAATTAAATGAATAAATCTAAAATAAAATAAATAATACATAATACCCTGACAAAAGCAATATAGGAGGGAAATGGCTTACCCACTGTCCAAGGGTACAACCCCCCACCGTGGCGAGGAAGCCTGGCAGCAGAAGCCTGAGGCAGCTGGTCACCTCTGCAGTCTGGGAGCAGAGGATGTGTCTGCTCTGCTCACTTTTCATGCAGCATAGGATCCTAGCCCAGGGAATCATGCCACCCACAGTGGCATTCCCACCTCGGGTAATTTAAGATGTTCTCTCATCAACATGCCCAGAGGCTGGTCTCCAGGTGATTCTAGGTTTAGTAGGTTCACAGCTGAGATTAACTGCTACAAAAACTGCCCTGTCCATCTGAATTCTCTCTTGACGAGGCAGCAAGTAATCACCTCTTATTAAAAACTGGACCCCATGAAATGCCAACTGCTCAGGTACCAAACGTCTTTGACCATGGACTTCCCGGCCCCTGGAACTGTGAGAAAAACATCCCAGCAGTTTCTGAATCTAAGGTGTTGACTTCTAAGCCCCCACTGTGTTTGGAATGAGGAGGCACCACACAGTTGCAGATTCTTGCTTGATGTGTGTCCATCAATTGGGAAATTGGTTTCCCAATCGGCAAATGCTTTCTCCTCCTCTTCTTTCTATCCTGCTTTGCATCTAGGCAAAGCCATGCTGAGTACCCAGCTGTGCTCCAGCTGCCTGAGGACTTTAAAAACTGGAAGAAAACTTTACATTCTGAGTGGTGCTTTCCATACATTTTAAGTTCTTTAGTGCCCCTCCCTTTGCAGGGCAGAGCCTGCCCCTCTCCTTAGATTACTCTCAGCACATGGTGACTCACCTCTAATCAACAGATGGTAGAAATGTTGCAGTGTGGCTCCCTAGCCTTGGTCATGAAAGGCATCATGGCCTGTCTCATTGTGCTCTCTCTCTCTCTCTCTCTCTCTCTCTCTCTGTCTCTCATCACCTTTGTAAAGGGGAACCAGCCACCCTCTCATGAAACACTCTAGTAGCCTTATAGAGAGGCTCTTGTGGCAAGGCCTGGCCTGTGGACCCTCTCTGAACCTTCAGCTTGTCTGTAAGCCTGGACAGCATCTTAGCTGGAACCTCACCAGAGACACCAGAGACTCCTGGCTGGGCTGCCCAGCTCAGCAGCTCCTGGGTCCCAAAGCACAAAAACTGTGGTAGCAACAGGAAATGCTTGTTGTTTGAGGGGAAATTTTAAACTAGTGATAGATAAATTATATAGACCAAACTTGAGTTATTCTCAGTGGGGGATTAAGTGTGCTGTGCCAAAGTCACTCAGGACAGGGTTCAGTTAGGATTTTAGTTTGAGAAGTTGGTCCAGAGGCAGGTAAGACTTACTTGTTACTCTCTTTCCCTAGAATGCTCAGCAAAATAAATTCAAGGGAGCCTTAAGTGATTAGGAATAGAAAAATGAGGAGTAAACAAAGAAAACCAACCCTGATACCACTGTTAATCGTGACAAGCCTCCTCATAGAGACAGTGAAAGGGAAACCTAGTGACTGCTGTACTAAGTCTGATGAATTTTATACATCTCGTCTTCTTATTGGAAGAGAGACAAAGCTTTTCTGAGCACTGGATTTAAAAACAGAAGTCTCTTAATGGATCTTGAGCTGGGTAAAGCATGAGGCGACCAGTCATGTTTTTGGAGACACTGTTAGCAAAAGCTCTTTAGCTGTTGCTCATATCCTTTGGAAAGGAGGGAGGGGAGTGAGGGCCAACCACAGCAGGGGGAGTCGGGGAGACAGGACGGATTCCTCTGACCTGAGTGTGACGGGGCCTTTTGAAAGCGGCTCATAAATGTGTGAGGATAAAATGTTTTTGATCTATGCTTCTCCCTACTCAGTGTGCGGCAGTGTGTGTGTGTGTGTGTGTGTGTGTGTGTGTGTGTGTGTGTGTGTGTGTGTGAGAGAGAGAGAGAGAGAGAGAGAGAGAGAGAGAAGTTCTCTCCTCTTCCTCCTCCTTTCCCTTTCCTTCTTCCTCTCTCTCTCTCTCTCTCTCTCTCTCTCTCTCTCTCTCTCTCTCTCTCTCTCTCTCTGTCTCTGTCTCTGTTTGTATTTCAAGTCTCCTGGTTTGTGGCTGTAAATTCCTGCTACTAACTTTGACTCTGCCTGGGAATCTGAATCCTCCAGCAGCTCCCATGTCATTCCACCCATTCTTGACCTTCTGTGACATGTGGAGCTGCCCTGAGCTTTAGTCAAAGCCCTGGAGAGAAGCCACTGGGGCAATGGAATGCAGACAGGCAGCGGCCTCAGTGGACACACCACGCTTTCGGTGAACTGCTCTGGACTGTTCTGTGTCACAGCAGGGTGGTCCTAGGCCACAGTGACACAAGCAACCTATGACAGACAGAGCTGTTGGCTTGGAAGAGCTGGGCCTGACCTGGGGCAAGGAAGGCCCTGCCTCTTCTCCCAACTACTCAGTTGGAGTACCAGTTGCTAAAGTGAAGATGCCCAGCACAGTGCCTGGAATGTGGCAGGTTGCAGCTGTTGTTCATTTTCTTCTTCCCTCTGACTTCTCCTCATCTTTTTCTCTTGTCCTTCCTGCTTCCCTGTCTTTCTGCATCACTTCCTCCATTCTATAGGATCCTACTATATCTATCTCTCTATGTATAGATATAGATAAATCTATAGATATAGATATATAGATAGAAAGATGATAGATAGATAGATAGATAGATAGATAGATAGATAGATAGAAAGATGGTGGATGGATAGATATGCAGACATATAGATAGATAAATAGATAGATAGATAGATAGATAGATAGATAGACAGACAGACAGGTAGACAGATCCTTAGGGGTTGCCAAGCTCTTCCCTGTCCTGGACTTGAAGGCCTTTGCTGACCACTCTTGCTGGGTTGACCTCCATTGGCATCTGCTTCCACAGCATTATAGCCCTGTCCTTTCTAACTCTCATCACAGCACGCCTATGTCTGTGTGGTTGATTAAAGTCAAATTTCCATTCACAGTCCTCCCACAGCATTCCCAAGGGGGTTGACTCCAGGACCTTAGCTGGCTTGGCTCCTCAAGTCCTTTGTATAAAATCGTATATATTGCATATCCTCCATACATTTGAACTATCTCTAGAACACTAATAATTCTGAATATAATGTGAATGCTATATACATAGTTATTCTATTGTATTGTTTATGGAATGATGACAAGAAAGAAAAGTCCGTGCATGCACAGCACAATTGTCATTAAAATTTTTTTTTCCACCCATGGCTGATGGAATCTGTGGATATGGATCCTATAAAATCAGAGGCCTAACTGTATTTTCATGATTATTCTGCAGACAGTATAATGTGCACCTTTATATTCTCACTCTTGCACTAGCATTAAAGGCTCATTAAGGGAAAGTACTTTCCTTCTGGTCAAGACCATGGGATCTTTGGCCCGAGTGAAGACCTGACATCCTATCTAGTTGGATTGGTCAATCACCTGGCTAAGGGAGAGCTCTTTAGGAAGCATTCAGAGATAAGTGGAATAATTATCCCTTTAATGAGATAATGTCCCTTTTCTTCCCAGAAACCTGGTCTCCCTGCTTTTCTGAGGACAGACTCAGATTGGTATAGCTTTCTTCTTCTTCTTCTTCTCCTTCTCCTTCTCCTCCTCCTCCTCCTCCTCCTCCTCCTCCTCCTCCTCCTCCTCCTCCTTCTTCTTCTTCTTCTTCTTCTTCTTCTTCTTCTTCTCCTGCTCCTGCTTCTTCTTCATCTTTTCTGATACTGGCTTGAGCTTGGGCACATTCCTTTTTAACATGTAGAGCTTTCATACTCTTTCTCTGAGCCCTCCTGCCTCACCACGTGGCTGCTTGTTCACCATGTGGCTGACTCCCGCTTCTGAACACAACGGTTTAGCTCAAATGGCTAGCCTTTGCTTGCTCTTCTTCATCTCCTTTTGCCAGGCAGCGGCCTCTATTTCTGGTTCGCCTGCCCAGTTATTTTTCTTTTAATCTCTAATAAAGCTTTGTCTCTTGGTGGAGTGACCCTGAGGAAGCCCTAGACATTTCATCAAGCAGGTGCTGATACACAGGAACTAGATGAGCCCTCCTCACACTGCCCTAGGAGCCATGGTTGGGACATGGGTGGTCAGGGAAGGAAGCAGTCTCCCAGGTCATCATTCAGCACTCATTAGCTATCTGAATTTATTTTCTGGGGCTGCCATGGCAAAATGCCACAGACTTGGGAGGTAGACACAACAGAAATGTATTGCTTCATAGTCCTGAAGCTGGGGTCTGGGATCCAATGTCAGCCAGGATGGCTCCTTCTGAGGAGAACTTTGGTTTATAGGCGACCCCTTCTTTCTATGTCATTACATCTTCCCTGTCCACCTGTTTGTATTCAGTCTTCTTGTAAGGATGCTGGCCACTGGCTCAGGATCCCCATAATGACCTGACTTTAACTGAATCGCCTCGTTAAAGTCTCTACCACCAACTGCAGTCCCATTCTGAGGTCCTGGGGGTCAGGGTTTCAGAAGATGAAATTTAGGAAGACACGCCTCAGGTTGCAGCTGTCCCTCTACAACAGTGGTTCTTACCCTTAATGCTGTGACCCTTTAATACAGTTCCTCATGTTGTGGTGACCCCTAACCGTAAACTTATTTTCTTTGCTATTTCATAACTGCAATTCTGCTACTGTTATGAATGGTAATGTAAATATATCAGATATTTGACCCCTGTGAACAGACCATTGGGCCCCAAAGGGGTCGAAACCCATAGGTTGAAAACCTCTGTGCTAAAGACCAATTCCCATTTAAGTGACCTCAAATGACGCGCCTAAGCGCTCTATGCCTCTACTTCCCATCTGGAAGGAAAAGTTTCAGCTCACTAAGTAGCAGCTCTGACAACCAAAAGAGCTGGTGCCTAGAAGGACTGGGAGCAACGGTTCGTGGTGAAGATTCAGCAACTGTTGGTGATTATTATTACTCAGCCCTAAGGAAATCGTTGTGGGCAAATTGGGTACAGAAATTAGTCTCTGTCTTCAGTTTATCTTTAATAAGATAAACCTGATGAATACAAACACTAAGCCATTTTCCTTAATGATGCTCTCTGGACCACCTGCAGGTCAGACTAGGGTGGAGCACCAGCAACCACACTCCAAGGAGGCTGAGTTTCACAGCCGCCAGCTGCACTGGGTTCCTTGGGTTCCCAGCAGGGTGCTGCCTGAGAAGGTGGAGTCCTCATGAATGTGGCCAGTGTTCTTCATCCTCACAGCCACCACCTGTGGCTCTCAGAGCTGTTGAGGGATAAATGCCCCCTCTCCAAAGAGTGATTGGGGTCTCTCTGTCTTTCTTGCAGACACCCCAGAGTCCCTCTCCGATTACCGCCTCCTGCTCCACAGGACTTTCGGTGAATTCCGGTTGTCCCTGCTCACACCTGAAGCTCAAGGCTGTGAAGAAGAAGAGGAGGTATTGCGAGGTTCCCACTTGCCCCCACTGTCTGCTTTCTCATTTTCTTTGGTCTTTGCTCAGCCACCATCTCCTTAGGTGAGCCTCCTTAGGTGTACCATCACATCACTGGGAGATTAGCTCAGCCCTGAACTCCCCAAGTCTCTAGTATGCCACCTGCTTTCTCTCTTACATTACTTCATGAGGGTGAGGATGCTTGTCGGCTCCAAGATGAGCACCCAGTGCATAAAGCACAAGTGTTTGTTGATTGAATGAAGGATCATACTTCAATGTTGTGAACTCTAATTCCCAGAGCTAATGAGGGTCAGAGACAGTGAGCCTTTTTGTCTAGACCCATCTCTACAGCCAGATGTGAAGGGGATTGCCCAGCACATTGTCAATCTGGCTCTAGTAGTCCCAAAGCTGGTAGCGGTCCCCTAGGATGGACAACGGTCAATCCTGCTGCAGGATTAATATGCTTATGCCATTTGCATTAGACTGTTTCCAATAACAATAAACTCATTTCAAGTCCTTTGGGGGAAGGGTGATTATCACTCCCTGAACTGCAGGAGGAGGTGAAGTGACCAATGGACACAGCTAGTAAGCAGCAGGTTTAGAAGCTGAGTTGAGTGCCCTGCCTCCCAGGCACTTGCTCTTTGGGTCCTCATCTCTTTCTGGTGCTGCAGGTATTTGAAGCTAAGCTTGGGCTTGCTCACCAGATGGCTTTTTAATCTCTCTCCTGTTGCTACATTATTAATCTCTAAATTGTTTAGTGGCGAGATGAACTGGGTGAGGCTTCCTGGAAGAACCGCTGACATTTTACAAGGACCGAGGAGGGCGATGCAGCTTTGGGGTAGAGGAGGGAGGGAGAGAGCAAGGCAGGAGGGCTGGGGAAATAACAGTGGAACTCTGCAATATGGCCCCTGCCGTTCTGGAAACCAGACAGATCCACGCTTGTCTCTTAACAACAAAGCTGGGCACCTAAACTTGTCAAACATTTAGCTGTCAGTGGCTTCCTGACATTGTCTGCTCAGAAAGGGATACAGGACTCCTTGCAATTCCAGTTTCTGAGTGTCTATGATTCGATAACACTGGATTGTTTTTCTCCCTCCCTGTAAAGTGATGGATCCTTCCGGCAGAGTTGCACGTTGCAAAGTCCCACAGCCTGGAAGCTTTCCCTCGCTTATAGAATGAGTCACGCTAAGCCTGCGGAGGGGCAGCTGCCACACGCGCCCTTCGAATAGGCTGTGTGTAGGAGGTCGATGGCGTTTGATGGGGCTCTATGGTGGTTGCATCTCCACAGGATGGAGGGCATGGTGCCCTCAGATGAGCAAAATAGAGGGAGGCAGGAAATCTGAAAAGCTAAGTTATTCTGCCGAGTGTAAAGCATTTTGAACTTGCCCCACCCTTCCCACTTTCCATCTGTCTCATTATTCACCACAGTAATATTTGGGCACTTGGAAAAGAACGATATTTTAAAAATGAAGCTATTCCAAGGAGAAAGAAAAATATCTTCATTTGGCATCCACCAGTCATGCAAATTAGCACAAATAAAAATAAGACTGAAGGCAACTTCGAATATTATTGTACTTTTCCAGGCTTCTGCCAGTCTCTTCTGTCAGCTGAGGCAGCCCTCCATCCCGGGTGACAGTGTTGTGAGCAAGGTTCATGATCTTGCCCAGGTCTGTGCAAAAGCAGAGAAACTCGGAAAGCATGGACACCAAAGTTCCTTAACTCAGGTCTGTTAGAACCTCGCCCTTGAAGTGACATGGTGAGCCCACTTGGTGGGAGTTCATAGAAGTACATTTCTGCAAGTCTATCAAGGATCCTATAACCTCAGTTGTTTCTGGGAGAGCCATCTAAGTACCTATGGGAGGGGGCAGGATTGGAAGTGTCAAATCCTCTGCAGGCTGTGTAGAAACTCCCCTGTCGTGGAGCAGAAGAGGATGGAGTATTCCCAAGACCCCTTGTCCAGGAAGTCTTCAGGGTGGATCCCAAATCATTACTTTCATGCTTCTGATGCGATGAAGCCAGGCATTTTCTCTCGTCTTTTCTTCCCTTCTCTCTCTCTTCCTTTTTTGTCTCTCTTTTGTCTCCCTGTTCCCTTTCTCTGTGAATGGACCGCATGTTTGCTCTGGGCTCCAGGGTCGTGCACACCAGTCTAGAACTGAAGATGCATTCCACGGTTATTTAAAACAATAGTTGATGCCTTTTCCCATTAATTTCCTAGAGTTATGATTGAAATGGCATCACTGGATACAGTCTCAAAATCCTCCCCCCAGCCTATTTGTGGCCAGTTCTGAAAATTCTCAGCCTTCTATATTTATGTAACCCACTATTTCAGTGCGGTGTCAAAGCAACTGGGACAACACCCTCGCTCGGCTGGTGACAGAGGAGACACACCGGCCAGTTTAGAGGGTTTGCATCAATATTTCAAGGACCATAAGGAGGGTGGCTGCAGGGACTGCCTTGATAGAATCTGCAGAGCTTCATGAGATCAACAATCCCTACAAAAACAAAAAGAAACAAAACAAACAAAAAAATAAAACCCCACTTCTTCTAGCAAATTCTTCTCTCCCTCTTTCCATATTTTCTCCTTTTCCTCCCCTCCCTCTGACAGGATTCTGAGCTTGCCCCCTGTTTCTTAGCTTGGAAAAATTTCACCGATGGAACACGCAGGAGCTATACACATGGAGAAGAGTGGAGTTGTCCACTGGACAGACAGTTTTCCATTAACTGAGGCCGTAATGGAGAAGACTGAGCAGATTTCCCAAGCACTGTCTGGACCCTGGACCCTCTTCTCCCAGGCGCTTTGTTTACTGTCAATGCTTTTTTACACCCTTACCTGAGTATGTCATGGTCTCCTTCATCAATGATGCTTTTTCATTCTTCCCGAAGGGCCACATTTTCTCTGTATTTTCCTCCGACCTTAATTCTCAATCCTCCCTGTAGAGCAGACTCGAGACTTCAGCTTTGTAGCGTCAGTATTATGCGCACCCTTTGATCTAGGGATTCTCCTAGATCTATTTCTTTATGCTGGTGTGTGTGTATTCAGGCATAACGGTAACCATCAGCGCCTCAGCGACGAGTGAAACATTTGGTGAATAAATTATAAACGTAATCAAATTGGAATATTATGCAGTCATTTCTAATAATGCAAAAGACTAACAACATGGAAAAACATCTCTGATATATTATTTAGCTGAGAGAAAAAGATGACTATAAAGACTGTTGTTTACTGGGCCTGGTGGCCCAGGCCTGTAAGCCTAGTGACACTGCAATTTCAAGGCCAACCTGGACAACTTAGTGAAGCCCTGTCTTGATATCAAAAGTGACAGGAAGGGTTCGGTGACACTGGCCCAGTGGCAGAGCCCTTGCTAGCTCGAGCCAGACCCTGAGATCAAACCCTAGTGTCACAGAAATAAAGATGTGTTCTTCCATTTTATTGAAAACATACACAAAACAAAACAAGACACTCTTAGCACATTTTTCCAAACATAAATAACTTACTGTCTCAGTAACAGGGTTAGAAGGTACTTTTGCTTATCTATGTGATAATTTTCAATTATCCTGTTTAAATGCATTTTTTCTGGCATGTAGTATATGACTCAGCATTTATTTTGAGCATAAACTTTATGCTTGTTTTCAGATACGATTTCCCACGTCTTAAATATGTTAGGGACTGAACTAAGATGGGCATTCTCAGGTAAGCACAAAGGCCATTCGTAGGGGTCAAAGGTCAACTGGGAAAATGGCTGTGCAAGATGAAAAGAACAGGAACGGGGTTGGAGAAGGAAGGAGAGGGATGAGGGACACAAGTTGACAGGGCCTTGCAGACTTGGACTATCTTTGAGTCACAAAGGCTTTTTCACAAGAAGCATTAGGGGTGTGGTCAGTGTTTCTACAGCAACAAAAATGAGTCAATGATAACAGCACCCAGAGACTACACCGTCTGTACAGGAAAACACTGAAGAGGACGCGGAGTCCTGAAGGGCCACAGCTTTCCTTGTGTCTGCAATGGGTGTTACTTGGGAAACAAACAATCAGTATTAAGGCTCGAATTTCTAGGGCTAGGGAGATGGCTGAGCAGTTAAGAACACTTGCTGCCCTTGTGAAGAACCTCAGTTCGGTTCCCAGCACCCAAGTGACAGCTCACAACCGTTTGGAACTCTAGTTCTAGGACTCTGACACCCTCTTCTGGCCTTCAAGGGCACAAGGCTGGCACATGTATGTGGGTGAAATACTCATACACATAAAATAAATAAATCTTTTTTTAAACAATTAAAGAACGACAACAGGATCAGATTTCCGATGGAGGAAGAGGTCTAAACCAAAGAAATTCCCAGAGGCAATCAGGCAATAAGTCAGTTAACCAGGGCAGCCACTTACCTGTGGAGCTGTAATCCTCTTGCTAGGTTGGTAGTCAGAGTTCTCTGATGGAGACAGACTAGCGGCAAAACTCCGGGAAGGCCATCCCCTAAACTCCAGGGGAGGCAGGTGAGTGGCCCTCAGGTTTTCAGGATTATTCTTCCAGGTCTGGAGGAGTTTATTAAAGAGCTATCAAACATAACCTTACTGTGGAACTCGGATTACAGAGAAAGTTTGAGAAAATTGTAATGGTTTCTTCTGCTATGGAAGATGAAATGGCCTAGCCAAGTCCTGCTAGACAGGTAGGAGAGCTAAATGACCTTTGCAAGAGCAATGGGAAACAGAGTCTGAATACTTAATTTAATAAAGATAGTTTCATCAATTTGGAAAATTGGAAACGTTCCAGAAAAGAAGTTAAAATAACAGCAGTGACCAAAAAAAAAAAAAAAAAAAAAAAAAGTCTTCAATGGAGAAGTAAAATCTCTTGTTCCTCGGTGTCTAACCCCAATCCTAAATTAACCACAGTGCTTACATTTAAGGGAAAATATAGAATGTTTAGCCTTGAGGAGAATTCTTGGCAGGATGAACTGCCAGTGTGATCGTCTATGGCGAGTCTAATGTGTTTGTTTATTTGTGTCTAAACTCCTCAGTGCCTTGCAAGTCAGCCCCGTTGCCCACACTTGCAGTTCAGATTGACAGCCCCGAGTGTTGCTCCATTCACAGCCATCAAAGACATATTCCTTCAAGCTTAGCACAATCCTTTTTGAAGGGCTACAGCAGCCAATGTTATACTTTCGAAAGAATTTTCAGTCGTGGAGGAGGAGGATCAAAGGGGTTGGTTTTCTGTGATTGTTTTTCTTTTTTAGATTAAAAACTCACTTGACGAGAAAATTAAACTTAGGAGGCCGTAATACTTCTTTCTCTTTCTTGATCATTTAGCCAGTCAGTGAATGGCTACTGTACAGGTTATGTGCCAAGCTCAGGGCCGGGACTAAGGATAAAGATGAGAACCCCGTTTCTGCCCTCAGGCACTTCAAAATGTAACCAGAGCACCTGCCTATCAGTGCCTACGGACACGTGCACTGATATTAAGCATGATAAGAAGTCATATGGAGCTGATCTTGGCTGTTTCCCCAAATGCAGATTTTTGCTTGTTCCGCGAGGTCTCTGCTGTCGTCATCTGACTGTAAATGAAATTCCACTGAAGCCGGGCAGACTGCCTTCTCCTCCCCCCCCCCCCCGCCCCCCACCCCGGCTCACTCTCCACTCCTCTCCACTGCATTGTTCTGCTCTGGAGGCCAGCCTGCCTGGCTTCTGGCTTTGGATTGGCTTTAGCCAGCACAAGGTGATAGGAGATGAGGGAGGGAGGGCACAGTGGGCTTGTGGTGTATATGCCCCCTCCCCCTTCCTGTTTCATCACCTGTGGTAGTTTGAATAAGAACGCCTCCCATAGGCTCATATATGTTTGAATACTTGGTCCCCAGCCAGTGGAACTGTTTGGGAAGGATTGGGAGGTGTGGTCTTGTTGGAGGAGGTGTGGCCTTGTTGGAGGAGGTGTGTCATTGGGGGTGGGCTTTGAGGTTTCAAAAGCCCCTGCCAGGCCCAGCCTTTCTCTCTCTCTCTGCCTCCTAGCTACACCTCCAATCAGGGTGTAGCTCTCAGTGCCATGTCTATTTGCTGCCATGCTCCATGCCATGATGGTCATGGACTAACCCTCTAGAACTATAAGCAGACCCCCAATTAAATGCTTTCTTTTACAAGTTGCCTTAATCATGGTGTTTCATTACTAACTAAGACATCATCCTACAAAGACAACAGTGGAAATTGATCTCCATACAATACCCTTTCTGCCCACTAAAGCTTGCCAGGGTACCTGGCCAATCCCTTTGGTTTCCTCAACCCTGCTCACACTTTTGTGGGGTTTTTAGGTGGTTGTTGTTTTGATTTGTTGTTTTTCATTTCGTTTTGTTTTGTTTTGTGTTTGTTTTGTGCTGGAGCTGGAACCCAGGGTCTTCTGCATGCTAGGCAAGCACCCCCAGCCCCACACCTTTGTAAATGACCCCTCTATTACATTCTCCTCTAGTCACTCAGCTTGACTGTCCATCTGCTCATGTCTTCCTTACACAGAGGGGCAAAGGCCTTCTTCGTTAAAGGAAACAGCTCAGGATCTATTTTTGACTATTTCTGAAACCATTATCAATGGAATGCTCAGGAAGCCTTGAAGTAAATCTTTGCCGCCTCTGTTCTGATAGGTGCATGACAGGTCAGCGGGTCACGGGCTTTAAAACCTGCCTATCCGGCTTATTTTACCACCTGGAAAACTATATCCTTGCTACCTCCATCTCATGGCCCAATTCCCAGCCTCCACACAGCCGTGTCCCTACAACTAGGAACAGTGGCTTCACATCTTTCAGTTTGACCTGGTATGAGCTCCTCACAGGCCATGGCAGCAAGCTTGAGGGGTTCTGTCTCAAGGCTCCGTGGTTTCCGACAGGGCTGGACCTTGTGTTCCTTCCCCACCGCAGTGCGGACCTCCTTTCTCTCTGCAGCTGACGTCCTGTAAGCCACCCCCCCCCCCCCCAAGGATCCTGACATACATGGGTAGCTGTCCTTAGCTGGCTGCCGTGGCAGTGATCTGGCTACTGCCGTCAGCTACCAGAGCCAACTGCTGGTGCTCCTGGGAAAGTGCCTAGCTACACTCTCTGCTTAGCCTTTCTTATGGACCACGTGACTTGTGCACAAGGAGACAGGCCACATCTGCTAAGGCCAGCTCACTAAGTAGAGTTGCTGAGTGTACAGAGCTGTCCTCAGGACTGCTCCAGGGTCTCATGAGGCTGGGTCCATATTACATCCAGAAAGTAGGAATGCATGAATGAACTGGACTCCACAACAGAAGGAGGGAGGGTAGAAGCTATTATTAAGCCTTAACTTCAACACACCTACCACATCCATCCTCGTTTAAATACCCTGTTCCTGTTCTCTCCCTCCATGGACACTGGGCTGGTTAGTTGTTTTGTTTTGGTCAACTTGACACAAGCCACGGTTATCTGGGAAGAGGGTCTTCATTGAGAAAATGTCTTCATCAGATTGACCTGTAGGCAAGCCTGTGGGGCATTTTCTTGACTAATGATTGATGTGAGCAGGCAGTGACCCCTCTGGGCAGGTGGCCCTAGGATGCATAAGAAAACAGGCTGAGCATGTCATGGGAAGCAAGTTGGTAAGCAGAATTCCTCCACGGCCCTTGCTTCAGCTCCTGCCTCGACTTCACTTCACAACGGGCTTCAGCTGAAGTCAAGCTTCTCCTCCTGTCTTAGTTTGGGTCTCAGTTTGCTGTGAAGAGACACCATGACCACGGCAACTCTTATAAAGGAAAACATTTCACTGTAGTGGCTTGCTTACAGTTCAGAGGTTCAGTCCCTCATGACAGGGAGCATGGTGGCGTGCAGACAGGCATGGTGCTGGAGAAATAGCCAAGTGTCCTACATCTTGCAGGGCACAGGAAGTCCACTGACTGTCACATTGAGTGAAGCTTGAGGAAAAGACCCCAAATCCCACCACCACAGTGACACACTTCCAACAGAAGGTGTGGCCTAGATTAAAGGTGTGCCCTCAGCTTCAAGGTCTGGATTAAAGGTGTGTGTCGTCCAGCCTCCTCCAACAAGACCGCACCTCCTAATAGTGCCACTCCCTATGAGCTTATGGGAACCAATTACATTCCCAAGTTGCTGTTGGTCAGTGTTTATTCA